GGATTTTACTATGCGTTATATTTTAGTTATATATCATAGTTATTTTCTTATCTGTCTATATCTGAAATGTGGTATTACATTACTCGGACTATTTTCTTCATCGCCATATTCATAAAGTTTCGGCCGGTGTTGGAATTTCGAATCGAACCATTTATTTTGTCCACTGGGGTAGATTGTTCTAGTTCCACGTTCTATGCCTCTTCCGTATATCTCAGTTATTTCCCTTTAGCTCTCCAAGCTTTTGGTTCACCACTGCTGTAGGCTGGTATTGAACTAACAACTCTTTGGGTCTAGTCACTGGATCTAACCAACGCTTTTATCCACTGTGTCATGTGTCTTTGAGGACATCTGTGTATTAATTTCTAGGTATTATAAACGTAATTTCCCCGCACCTTTTTACCAGAGCTTATATCGCAATTTTTCTATTATATATATATATATATATATATATATATATATATATACCAGTGCTCATATTGCAATTTTTCTGTTATCATTATATATATATATATATATATATATACCAGTGCTCATATTGCAATTTTTCTGTTATATATATATATATATATATATATATATATATACATACATACATACCAGTGCTCATATTGCAATTTTTCTGTTATCATATATATATATATATATATATATATACATACATACCTACCAGTGCTCATATTGCAATTTTATATATATATATATATATATATATATATATATATATATATATATATATATATATATATATATATATTACCAGAGCTTATATCGCAATTTTTTTGTTGTTATTCATTGCTTTTATCTAGCACTCCTTATTTCTGGTTCCCATATAGTATTCTTTTCTATGCTTGGTCGGGTCAGGAGATTTGTTGCCTAGCATATGTGCTGATTCGTTAAGTTTTCGTATTTTCCAGTGAAAAAGGAGACCCAACCCCTCCTACTCCCGTGGAATGATGTTGAAATAATAGACAGAACATCACTGTATATATCACCGAATAATGTAATTCATTTTAGATGTATGAAGGCTGTCGTGGGCCGTGAGAAAGATATTGTATAGTTATTGAGTGGTAGAAACAAAATGTTGAAAATGGTATAGAAGTTGATTAAATAAAATAAAATAGAAATTAAAATAGAAATTGGAAACATTGGTACGAATAAGACAAAAACGCTTTTAAAGAATATCCAGTAAGGGATCTAAGAAAAATTAGAAGGGTAGTAAGCAAAAACCAAAAAAAAAGAGAGAGATTGAAAATCAAAAACATGTTTGCAGGAGCTGAACTTAGAGAAAAGATACAAAATATTAAGAAAATTGTCTGAAGAACCCTAACATTATATATAAAGATACATTAAATAAACGTCAAAGAGAGAAACATCTGTTATAATGTAAGCAAAGAGTCTCTGAGATTGGTGGTGGTGGGCTAACCGATTGCTCTCCTAACAACTACGGTGATAATAGGGAGAGACAGGGGAAAGAGACGAGAGGTAAGAAAAAATTACATTGCCTCGGAAACCACAGCAACTTGAGGAAGAAAATGCCCACGGGGCTGACTTCACAAGACACCGTGTCTTGTCGACTGCTGTTTTTTCCCGCAGCTTTTATACACATGAGTCATCTTACAAAGACACGGATCTTGACCAGTTGCAGAAAGGCTCAAATCGAGCAAAATTGTCCCACTACTAACGGAAAAAACCTGGTTGTACCGCATACGAACCGAGGCATCTGTACTGACGCGTGTTCACCACAACATCTAAGTTGCGCGAGTAACCAGATGAAAATTTATTTCTCAACAGTAATTTTTAGTGATGAATATAGATGTAAACCTGCGAGCTGGATTAATGATTAGGTCATTAATTAAAAAAAAGAATAGGATACAAATGCAAAGATAAATAATTTAGACGGTTTTTCATTTCACTGAAAAAGAGGTTAAACTCGTGTTTCTCGTGGTATCTATTCATTCTTTCTTTGTATTATGCAAGCGTTTTTTTCTTTACTCAAACCAAACAACGTTTCTGATATGTTTATTTCGTCCGTCTTGCCTCGCTAGTCATTAATTAACTCGTAGTTGAGAGGAGAAGAGGTGAATCCACATCTTTCTAAATATAAAGATCCCAGCTGGAATTGGAGCTCACCTCTCCGAATTCTGAGCCGCTATCCATTATTATACCCTACGCACATGCAAGCTTACAGATCTAGTATTACCAAGCGATCAGCCATCTAGGTACTGAGCAGGCATTACCACTGCGTCTAGCATGAAACAGACTGACCCTCTGGGTGTTGATGTTAATGTGCACGTTTATATTTATAAAATATGGATGGCCACTCTTATCCAAGGATGCCCGTCTGCTAGGGCGGCTAGCCACTTCTTGTTGCATACGCCTGCTCAGACACTGAACCCCCTTTTGTTTATACTGTAATTATGCTGAGCAGACCTTAGTCACAGTTTCTGAGAGAGAGCCCGTTGTGTGTTCAACAATCTGAACAATGCCAAGACGATCAAACACTCAGTCCCGATAACTTGTGACTTTGCCCGAGCGCAACCATCGATGACTCGCCACAATTTCACTCACAGTGGTATGGTTTTCAGGTACATTCTAAAAAGGTGCAGCATGACCTTCCCTAGACTGATAACGTCTAGAAATCACCTTCTGACAAATCGATCATGGTGAGATTCGAACCCGGGTTTCATAGTCAGAAAGCGAAAGCTATAAGCACTGGCTTATATATGTGAGAGAGTTAGAGACCGTAGCGTGATAATACTACACAAAGATATATAAATATTGGAAAAGTGTAAAAGAAAAAGAAAAAGAAAAGATGATTTCGCCGAAATTAATGATTACACGTTTGCTTTCTATCCAGAGGACAATATGCTGAAAATGTGGGAGCTATGCCGTTGATGTAGGTGTTCAAAGTTTGGATACGAATGATCCCAAAAAAAAAAAAAAAAAAAAAAAACTTAATATTTTCTACCAAGAAATATGACTCAAGATAAACGTTTTGACCCCCCCCAAAAAACAAAAAAAAAAAAAAAAAAAAAAACAAACAAAACAAACAAAAAACGACTATTAAGTGAAATAAAACCAGAGATGGCACCTAGCCTGAATGCACCATAAAAATATTCAGGTTCTTATATAGTCTAGTAAAATCTGGACATTCATGGGGATGTCATGTATGGCTGCAAACTCGTTCAGAAATATGTTAACTGTTAGCTTCTCTCAGATCATTGGTTAAAATGACTGAGCGTACTACACCAAATAACAGAAGCCACCTTACTTGAGGACTTTCAACCACAGTTACAAGTAAAATGAATAGTGTATGCTACTCTTACATAAAAATAAATGACAATGAACATGTTAACGTTCCTCACTAATTCAAACAAAAGATTAGTAAAAGTAATGAAACCGTCTTCAATACTGGAAAGAGTGATAACAGTGTAAAATTAAGAAACTCATTTTCCTAAAAAATTCTTTTAATAGAAAGATTTTATAAAATTCAACTCAAAGTAGCTCTTGCTGTTCGGTAAATGAATACCGTTTGGTTAATATTTACTTTACCTTGCCTTGAAGGTATCTTTCGGAAATTGAAAGGAAAGGTAGTGAACACGAAGAGAGATTATTTGAAGCTCCTAGCATCTGTTGATCGCATTTTACTAATATCAATGCTGCGAAACGACTGGAATCGGGAAAGTTGCAATATAGATTTCAAAATGAACAGAATTAAAGCAAAAATAATGTTCAATTTTAACATAAAAAAAGAATAGACGATAAATAACTAGAAGTCCAAAAATACATCTGCTCAGAGCAGGTGATAAAATTTATGAACGATCATGAAAATACAATAAAACAACTGATAAAATGTTGGTTCGAAAACATTTAATAAAAGATAGAAACAATGAAAACCCCCTTACCAATATGGTGAAAAAAGTCTGCTACAGATCTCTAATTCTAGTTATTACGTACAGTTGTGAAACAAAGAAATTAATAAAACATCTAGAAACTCACAGAATTAAGAGAGACGACAGGTATAACAATGAGATAGAGGCCGATCTGGATGAAAGAACAGACAAGGATAAGAAATATCATACGAGTGATTAAGCGGCAAAATTGAAGGTGCGCGGAGAATAGCAAAAAGAAAGCATCATCGATGGAGCAAAGCGTTGCTTGTTTGGTCCCCAATGGATAATAAACGGAATAGCAAAACAACAAATAGTAGTTGATAGATAAACTAAAAGGATTTACTGTTAGGAAACGGCAGAATATAGATAAATTACAATTGTCATGAAAGGAGCTTGGATAGGTTTTTGTCTAGTAACCGATTCATATAAAAACATACTTCCATGTATGGTATAAAATCGGCTTGTGAATATGTACTTATATTGTAGTTGAAACATACACATGTTTATATATAGCATTGCATGTTTCTCCAAAAACATACCTACGTAGAAATTAATCAATGTCTTATAAGGAAAACAAGAACATTCTAAAATCAACGAATGCTTAACGATAAAATATCTATCGTTACTCCGCGCATTTCTTTCTTACTGATACATGTATTGGAAACAGTTCACAATGCAGCTGTTTTGTTAAAACCAGATTACCACAATGCACTATAGCTTTGATGCAACTCCCTTCCCCATGAACTACACCGAGTATACTTTTGGTAACTGGCATTTATTTTACCATCTCTGAATGCAGCTGAATTCCCTGGCACTTAATGTCACAGCTAACATGATAAATTTCTGCCATTTATATAATGCCAGTATTCTAAATTAGCACTTGAATTTGTTGAGAGCTTTTTTATTTTTTTTTATTTTGTTTTAACAGTTGATGCAGAAAGTCCATCTTATGCATAATGTTGCCTATTCAACAACACCTGGGTTTCTTTTACAAGCCTGCCATAGCAGTTTTTGAGATAAACTTTATCCACAGATCACGAGATGGTAGCCCTTAATTTTACGAAAAGGAAAACATTAGTGGCAGTCTATGTTCATATTTCTTGTTCTTTATTCTCTCTTATATATATATATATATATATAGAGAGAGAGAGGGAGGAGAGAGGAGGAGAGGGAGAGAGGGAGGAGAGAGGAGGAGAGGGAGAGAGGGAGGAGGAGGAGAGAGAGAGAGAGAGAGGGAGGAGAGAGAGGGGAGAGAGAGAAAGGGGAGAGAGGGGGAGAGAAAGGGGGGGAGAGAGAGAGGGGAGAGAGAGAGAGGGGGAAGAGAGAGAGAGAGGGGGAAGAGAGAGAGAGAGGGGGAAGAGAGAGAGAGGGGGGAAGAGAGAGAGAGAGAGGGGGAGAGAGAGAGAGAGGGGGAAGAGAGAGAGAGAGAGGGGGGAGAGAGAGAGAGGGGGGGAGAGAGAGAGGGGGGAAGAGAGAGAGAGGGGGGGAGAGAGAGAGAGGGGGGGGAGAGAGAGAGGGGGGAAGAGAGAGGGGGGGGAGAGAGGGGGAGAGAGGGGGAGAGAGGGGAAGAGAGAGAGAGGGGAGAGGGGAAGAGAGAGAGAGAGAGAGAGAAAGGTTATTACTGCCATACCAGAATAAAATGATCTTCAAAAACGTATAATATTTTATTCATAAAACAAGATACAAAAGTATCACGACGGTTAAAATTTTAGGTACTTTTCCGTCGACACATCTCCAGAAAATATGTGTGTGTGTGTGAGTGAGTGAGTGAGAAATTATTTCTATGATCTTGGTTGCAAATTTAACGGTGAAAACGCACTTTCAATGCATATTCCCTTTCATAAATTACTTTCAATTAATACTACATTAATTCAAGTTTATAATCAGACCGATTCCGATGAATGACACATTTTTTTTTTGAATTATTAAATCCCTTTTGGGCTCATAACCCTTCATGTTTCCCTTATGCATTTTTTGGGGCATTTTACAGTATATTTGTAAAATCCTACTTCAGTTTTAATTATTATTTGGTTTTTTGTTAATTAAATCTTACTGTTTTTGAAATCGTACCAAATTGTATACAATGTTTTGATAAATTCTTTTCTGTGACAGTCATTGAGTTGATAGATAGTATTATGTACTTATTTTGATTGAAGATATTTGTTTTTATTTCCTTTTTATTACTTTGTTTTGTAAGCCTTTTCCTTGCATTGCATCTGAAATCATATATTGACGGAATTTAAGATTATGTTCAATATATTTTTGTTAACCATGTAAATAGTCTAGGCTACAAATTCAGAGTACTCTTAGGCAGTAAGCAATAATTATTCTGGATATTAATTTGTGGTGGTAAGAGTAGAAATTTATGAGAATTTTTGTTCCGGGATAATGTAAACTTAGTAAATACCTCCGTACATATCAAAGAGAGAATAGGTAGAGAATTCCACATTTTTGTCATTAATGTAGAGCGAATCTTCGGTAAAAATACACAGGAACTTCACTTTCTTTATATACACGAGGACTGTCTGGAAGTAATCCTGCTATTAAATAGTTAAGAGCAAAGTAGCCTACCTGATGCTAATTAGTCAACGTCAAAGAACTGCACTGGGGACCTCATTTAATAATTCCAGCGTTCTTTCTACTTTTCAAAACTACAGGAAAAGTTTTCGTTAAAAGATCACAGCTCACGTTCAAAGGCAATTTTAGTTTTAGAAAATCCAAAAGTCAGAGATAGCCAATTTTGGAATGGAGGCAGGTTGACAGAACCAAGTGATTATGCGCTTTCTCGAGCTGTCTATCACCGATTTTCTTTCACTTCAGTTCGTATGCTTTCAACAATTTTGTCTTTTCTGAATGAAAGACTTCTAGAACGTGGATAGACTTCAGCGGATTATTATCCATGCTTACTATATCAGACCAAATTTTGATACGGTTTTCATACATTGAATCTTACCGGAAACCGTTGTTAATCACTCGAATATTTAACTAGCGACTGAGTAACCTCACAGGGTTTGTTAAAGCATGTACATTGTGATTCGCTAGCAAGTAACATAAAAGACGAACAACAAGTTCTCGAGACTTAAAATGATTGTATAGTTTTTGAATAAACCATCTACTCAGGAATAAAACGTGAAATGTTTTATGAAAACATTTTCTTTGGTTCTCTTTGCGAGTTTTCTTATTTTTAAAACCGATTTAATCCCCAATAATTTGAGTTTTGTAAAATGTGTATCTCCAAAAATAAGCGAATTCGACAGTATTTGATATTTTATCAACGACGACGATCCAGTTATTGCGTACTTGTATATAACTCCTGTAAAGAGAAGATATACACCTCAAAATAACGCCTTTGTGACAAAGTTAGACTCAAAGCGATCAAAGCACATCAGCCAGTAACATAAATCAATTAACCATTGTTAAACAACGTTATTGGCCCCTTATCGCGTCCCATGGTGAATGTTAATGCACAAGCAAAAAGTCAATGTCCAAAGACAACGAAATGTATCGCCAAAATACGTGCCTCGGCGCAAAGCAAGCAGTGGGCGGAAACGTGCACCCTACGCTTCTCATTTGATACAAAAGTGGAGATACAAGAGAAAGTAATTCTTTAAATCTAGTGGTCAATTAACAAATATCTATTCGTCAGAATAAGCATTTTATTGTCATTACAGGACAATCAGGCTTGTTAGAATTACATACAGTTGGCCTGTAAGTCAATTGGTCAGTTCTTCTATAGAGATGTTCAGTGTAAATATATGATATGGTTGCAGAAAGCAATGGCTTTGGTGATGTCTAAAGTTTTCAACCATGAAAATCCTTCTTTTGAAGGACTCATTAAGAGGTCAAATCTGTAGATTACACGCAGATATTAAGTGAAATTATGTGTCATAACTGCTTTCCTGTTTATATTTTACGATTCACAGAAGATTAAACTAGTTTTACATGGAATAATTAAAGTTAATGCATTAAGTTTACTACCACGAGGCGCATATATGCATCTTATGGCATATTACTCCCGACATTGATGTGCATCTTATGGCATATTACTCCCGACATTGATGTGCATCTTATGGCATATTACTCCCGACATTGATGTGCATCTTATGGCATATTACTCACGACATTGATGTGCATCTTATGGCATATTACTCACGACATTGATGTGCATCTTATGGCATATTACTCACGACATTGATGTGCATCTTATGGCATATTACTCCCGACATTGATGTGCATCTTATGGCATATTACTCCCGACATTGATGTGCATCTTTTCGACATATTTCTTTAAATAGCAAAGATATTTTCACTGTCTTCGGAGATATGGCCACCGGAGTCGACTAAGAGGTCAAAAGTCGTCTCAAAATTCATTCTTTCATGGTAAACTTAGCAATTTTATATGGTTGCACGAGTAATAAAAAAACGTCAAAACAAAACAGATTCAAATATCTGGGGTGGGGGCAGTGAAAGTGTTAAATATTTCCCGCTTTGCACCAATGTTTCTCTCGGTGAAGATAAATAATAATAATGTTCCTTTCGCCAATAAAATTAACGCATCTATTTGCCTGAAAATTCCTAAAGAAAACATTATGAAAACTGAGTTATGTAAGGATAAATACAGGGTTAGGGTTCACGAGAATTTCTATCAGAATCCTTTATTGAATTTATTGCAATAGATTGTTCTCGTTCTACCGACCGTGTCTTGGGATATCTTTTGCTCTTAGTTTGTTTGTTACTGAGACATTGTAAATTCGATGTGCTTGATGTACAGTCCATATTTGGGGTGTTATAATGGACTCGGCTAAGTTTAATAAATGTCTTCAAAGGGCCAACTACTGCTGTATTATGTAATTCTATTCTCTTCCCGATAAACGAGTTTAATTAGGAAAATAAAAAAAAAGAAGAAAAGAATATCGTGGCCATTTGAGCTGATCTCGAGCGATCATTTGTGCAATTAAACACAATCTTTACCAGATGTGTGTGTAAAATGTGAAAGTTTGATTTCATAAATAACGCATAAATGTCTACATCATTTACAATATTCTATTCAAACAGCGTTGAATTGTTTCTGTTATTCAGCCTTCATCAGGTGCCTGTTAATACGGGTAACCTTGAGAGAATTTCGAACTAAACACTTTATTTAATCAGCGGGGGTAGATTGCCCCTGTTTTGCTGACCATACCTAGGGGAGTTAACTCGATTTCTTTCTCATATTCAAATAAAGGGTTCAGATGAAAAATTCCAGACAGTTACTCGGACTGAAAAACACTTGAAGGCCGGGGGGACACAACGACCAAAACGTTTCGATAATAATAAAAGATGAAGACAATAGTCCGCATTTAAATAATAAATTCATATTGCATAAGTATTCTTGCACCTATATTGTGGCTAACTTAGTTGCGTCTTTATTATAGATTTTTTTTTTTTTAAAAAGAAAAAAAAGAAAAGAAAAAAAAGAAAAGAAAAAAAAGAAAAGAAAAAAAAGAAAAGAAAAAAAAAAAAAAAAAAAAAAAAAAAAAAAAAAAAAAAAAAAAAAAAAAAAAAAAAAGAAAAAAAAAAAAAAAAGAAAAGAAAAAAAAGAAAAGAAAAAAAAAAAGAAAAAAGAAAAAAAAAAAAGAAAAAAAAAAAAGAAAAGAAAAAAAAGAAAAGAAAAAAAAGAAAAGAAAAAAAAGAAAAGAAAAAAAAGAAAAGAAAAAAAAGAAAAGAAAAAAAAAAAAAAGAAAAAAAGAAAAGAATAAGATTTTTTCTTGAAAATAATTTGCAGTAGACAATAGTTTCTTTTTTAAATGATTGTTACATTTGTGTGCTTCTAAAATATTAGAGGAATGGAAATAATCTTGCCCACCAAACACTGACTGCAGACTGAAATCAATCAGAATAGTTACACAATGAAGTTTTTTTCCCCCCATCTGCGTGTTGAAATACGAGTTTTTTCTTTATTAAACTGTTTTACCATTGAGTAGCCTCTCATTCGAAGTGCTGCTAGAAAATATTGCTGTCAAAATTGTCAAATTTCCTTTTGAGTTATCCATGATCCCTGACTCTCCGAACGAGAAATCTATTGGCAGCAATAATAAGGCTGTCAGCTGCTAATCGAGATTCTGTTGAGTAGGCGAGGCGAGAGATTCATTACCCTGTATCCAAAAGCCACGTAACCCTTCGGACAATATGCGCCTGTCACACATTGTACAAGATTATGGATCTGAGTGGCAAACAATTCTTTTGTTTAAATGGAAACACTGAACGGTGGCGGAGGTCTTATAATATTCCGGAGAAAAAGAATTATGACGTTTTTAATAGAAAATTCGCAATTGAATGGCTTCCCCATGTCGGAAGAAGTGTCATGTAAAACAGAGTTGGGCAGTTTCTAATCGGCAAATAGCCGGCACTTGCAAGAAACCTGGTGCATGAATGGTGACACTTCTATGTCCTCAGAAATAAATACTGCAGCACACATACAGTGAAATTTGCTCATGTTCAGTCGTATGCACAAAAAGTCACGCACAAATATTCATTCATGGATAAAGAGATCCTTTATATAAACGCGAACACTCACTCAGAAATAAACAATATGGCTGAAATCATATAACGCTCTTCACGCACACATACGCAAAAAAGAAAAGGTATTAATTATCAGTAACGCGCGGAACAGCAGGAAGTTTGAAAAGACTTAGTGGATAACCGTTTCAAATTTCTTTCCTGTCTGCCTAAGACAAATATTCAGCACTACACAATGACGGACTAGGTCGTTCAGTTTAATTAATAACCACCACCTAGAATCAATTTTTAAGATGAACTATTGTCACTGTTCGATTAATTATTCGGACAAATACAGGATGCGATGGATAAATTGTCGTCCAAATTACGCAAAAACGAAAATAATACTGAGATTACATCTTTAACAAATTTATTTACCAAAATTGCACAAAAAATATCTTGAAATACTAAAGAGTAGATTTATTCAATCGTACCGCCATTAACTTCAAACACGGCCTCCGGACGACTTCGGGATCTCCTGCATATCTTCTGGACGGTCTTCTTGTTTAAGTTGGTGAATGCTGCCATAATCTTTGCCTTCCATTCATCTTTGCTGTTACGAGGAGTTTTGTTGGTCTCTTGCTCAACTGCGCTCTGACACATAATATTCAAGGGGTTAAAAGTCTAGGGAGTTAGGTGGTCAAATGTAAGAAGTGATGTGGTGGCAGAAATTGTCTGACAGCCATGACTGGGTTCTCCTGTTTGTATGACATGGTGCAGAGACCTGTTGCCAGAAATAGGGTCTTCCAGTAGCCACCCTCTTGAACCAGGGCAATACTACCTCCTCGAGGCAATTGATGTAGACCCCGTATTGAGTAATTCTAAGCAGTGTTTGTCTCCTTATTATGCATTCTAATCTCTGCTCTGCCATATATTTACGCAAACTCGTTGCGTAGATTAATTGTTTCCTCCACCCCTCTTTCCTTCAATCTATCCTTTGTGTGTTAAATTCTCAAAACCCTCTTTTTCAATTATAAATTTCGGAAATTGTATCTGTCTCTAAGTGTCCTTTTCGTTTTCATTTTTTTTTTTAATTGCCCGTTGATTGCATCCTTCTGTCGAATCGAATCTGTCGCTTCAATTCTCTGCTTCATTTGCGAAGAAATTATAGGCATTCACTGCAATATAGGAGGAATATATTCTTGTGTAGAAAGACGACCGAATCGTTCATCTGCTATGAACATAGTGTATTATTCTTTCATGTGATTAAACCTGTTCTTGACTCAAACTTTCTCTCCAGTTTCCTTACTAACCAGAATTACGAGCGTTATACAAACTTTATAACAGTTACTAACGAAATGTCCCCGTTTCTTTATATTTTGTTTAGCTTTTGGAATGCATCTTTCAGTATTCCAATATTTCCTTCGTTTGTTGGGTTTTGTCCTTTTATCGGGTATCGGTCTCATCCAGTAATCTTAAAATTGTTTCTCTCAGTCTTTACTTCCAGGTGACAAAGATTCATCTGACGCTGTAAATCTTCAGTAACAAAGTTTTGCCAACTGAATCAGGGAGAGGGGGGGGTCTTAAAAAGTGAAAAGTACCGATATACACCAAAGGCAAGGCAAAGAGCTAACTTTGTAATACAATAGTTGGTATCACAGATGTGAAAATTCATTCAATAGCAGTAACCTTCTACGAATATTTTTTTCGAATGTACGCATCCATGTGAGGATAATGCAATGGTTAACGGGACGTAAAATCGTCGAGCCGATTACGAATTCCATTCGTGTTCGTTATATTAATTTTCACACACTTGGGGAAGGTATGTATCTATCTCTTCTCCTCCTCCCATCCATTGGTTAAGTAGTAATGCAGACTTGGCCGTTCAGCCACTAGTTGGCAAAAAAGGACAACATTGGATTCAAAACGGGCGTTCGCATTTCCATCCCGTAAAAAGCTACTTGGAAACCACATGCAGCAATGCCTACTATGTTGAATCTGGAGCCCAACGGGAATTGAGATTTTATACATATATTTATGTAAAGAGGTAGAGAGAGAGAGGGGGAGGGAAAGCGGGACAGAGGTAGAGAGAGAGAGGGGGAGGGAAAGCGGGACAGAGGTAGAGAGAGAAAGCGGGACAGAGGTAGAGAGAGAAAGGGACAGAGGTAGAGAGAGAGAGAGGGAAAGGGACAGAGGGACAGAGAGAGAGAGGAGAAGGGACAGAGGACAGAGAGAGAGAGAGGAGAAGCGGGACAGACGTAGAGAGAGAGAGAGGAGAAGCGGGACAGACGTAGAGAGAGAGAGAGGAGAAGCGGGACAGACGTAGAGAGAGAGAGAGGAGAAGCGGGACAGACGTAGAGAGAGAGAGAGAAGAAGGGACAGACGTAGAGAGAGAGAGAGAGAGAAGGGACAGACGTAGAGAGAGAGAGAGGAGAAGCGGGACAGACGTAGAGAGAGAGAGAGGAGAAGGGACAGACGTAGAGAGAGAGAGAGAGAAGGGACAGACGTAGAGAGAGAGAGAGGAGAAGGGACAGACGGAGAGAGAGAGAGAGGAGAAGGGACAGATGGGAGAGAGAGAGAGGAGAAGGGACAGACGGAGAGAGAGAGAGAGAGGAGAAGGGACAGACGGAGAGAGAGAGAGAGGAGAAGGGACAGACGGAGAGAGAGAGAGAGGAGAAGGGACAGACGTAGAGAGAGAGAGAGAGGAGAAGGGACAGACGTAGAGAGAGAGAGAGAGGAGAAGACGGGACAGACGAGAGAGAGAGAGAGGAGAAGCGGGACAGACGTAGAGAGAGAGGAGAAGGGACAGACGTAGAGAGAGAGAGAGAGGAGAAGCGGGACAGACGTAGAGAGAGAGAGAGGAGAAGGGACAGACGTAGAGAGAGAGAGAGGAGAAGGGACAGACGTAGAGAGAGAGAGAGGAGAAGGGACAGACGTAGGAGAGAGAGAGAGAGGAGAAGGGACAGACGTAGAGAGAGAGAGGAGAAGGGACAGACGTAGAGAGAGAGAGGAGAAGGGACAGACGTAGAGAGAGAGAGGAGAAGGGACAGACGTAGAGAAAGAGAGAGATGTGACAGACGGGAGAGACGTAGAGAAAAGAGAGATGTGGCGGGAGAGACGTAGAGAGCGTGGGGTGGCGGGAGAGACGTAGAGAGCGTGGGGTGGCGGGAGAGACGTAGAGAGCGTGGGGTGGCGGGAGAGACGTAGAGAGCGTGAGACGGAGAGAGGTAGAGAGAGAGAAACATATACACATTTATTAAGTGTGTGTAAAACTTTCCAGAGTGCTTTTTGAAAACCAGCGACATTTTTCTCCTTAAAATGATCTAATGCATTCGTTTAATGAACATTTATTATTCAAAGGTTTTTCTCTCCATGATGACGACATACTATATAGTGTATGTAGATTTTTTTTGGTGATGAGATGGCCGCTAAATATGGGAACATTACTAGTTTGTCTTGAAACAAATACAAACTCCGAGACGAGTAAAATGAACGAAACCTTCCATCCCTTAAAATACGAGCTAAATTTTCATTTATGGAAACTTGAACATGCAGAGACAAAATTACGTTTGCAAAAACCTCATGGCTAAATAGTTATTATATATAATAGCCATTCTATTAATATGTCCACAACACGATCATTCAAGACACTTCCGAAAATGATTAGAGTTTGATATTTCAAACGATATGACAGATCTTGGAATCATATTTTGATATTATGGTTTTATTAAGAGAAATTTGCAGGCAGCGAAGCGAAATACCTCATTTGTCATTTTATTAATGATATGAGAGGGAAATCTGTTAGTGTTGTGGACTTGTGGTTATATCGATCCATATCGAAAAAGAGGGATTGTCAGTAATTTGAAGTTGTCACCTAGATCTGAAAGCAAAAACATTTTTTTATGTTTGAAATACGAGCAGGATTGGCTATATTTTGAGATGACAAGAATTTTACGACAGAAAATGATAGGTAGGAAGCAAATTATAACAGAATTAAGAATTCTAAAGAAAGAAAATTGAAGGTGGATGGAAGATGTAGGGACGAGAAGATGGAAGAAGAAAGGAGAGAATAGAATTATAAATATATGAAAATATATGTAAGGAATAAGACAGGCATGAAATAGGCACAGACGCACACATATCAGGAGAGAGAGAAAGAAAGAGGGCGGTTCAATTTTATGGAAACAGCAAGATCGTCTCAGATCATTGCTTATATGAGGAGTTTCATATTTTCTAAGCGTTCAAGTACTATAGCCTTTTACCAAACAAAGCTTGGTAAGCTTCACTGACATGGTAGATCTAGACAAATGAAGACTTGCTGTAGAAAAGATATTTTTATTACCCTGATTTACCTATTTTTACATACGCATATATATATATATATATATATATATATATAAAGAACAACCTTAAGGTCCCATGACTATAATTTATTTCCCTAAAAAAATGTTTCCTGCTTCATCAGTTCACATCTCTAGTTACAAGGGAATTTGGTTTCTTTTATTTTTAATACAAGTTTTTGAGGGATAGTTTTAGATTGATATAAGGTGACATATATACAGTGCCCACAAAGTCTAGAGACAATTTAAAAAAGTAATTTCGAGAAACTTAGAAAATTCTTTTACTGATATTAATAGTTTTATGAATGTTATGTTTTTATATTTCAGATTTGTGGGACACTGTGTGTGTGTGTGTATATATATATATATATATATATTTCAAGCGCTTTGCACGGAAATGCTCATCCAACTCAAAACTCGGCTCATCTGGAGTACCCACGCCTGATTGCCCCGCCCCGCCCCGCCCCGCCCACATCTCCCTCCCTAGAATTGAGGCTATACTGAGTTATTTGCGCATAACCCCGTCGGTGGTCGCTGACATAATTTCTAAATTAGACTCCCATAAGGCAAGTGGATGTGACGGGATACTAGCAGTCATCCTAAAGAAATATGCTCCCGTATTGCAGGTCTCACTAAATTGTCTATTGCCACACATAATAAAAACGATTTATGGACAGCCCGGAATTTACTTTTATAGATATCTGGTTGGTAAGTGTTTTTTCCACGATACTTTAAAACTTACATTAGGTTAGGTAATATACTGATCCGTTGACGACTAAATTCACCATCAACCCAGAGTTGGGGGTTCTGTTGTAGACGCTACATCTGTTTTCACCAAACACGCATGCGGTGAAAAATTCCATCAGTAGCAGCGATCCTTTTTCAGCTTATGGGCATACATAAAAACAATAATAATAAAACTGGGATCATACGTAGAGCGAACCCTAAGAGGCTACCCATCTTTCAGACTGTGCTGAGGTAGGACGCTAAACTTGGCGCTCAGAGAGCAGACACACAGGGCTTAGACAAACACCTCTTTTACTATTCAGCTCACCAACAGAGTAAATTCAATAGTTTCTTGAATTTTTTAAGCATAAGAACATTGCTTGAATTTAAGCTTTCAGGAACTATCCTTGCACATTCTCTACACAAAAATTCCCGATAGAATAGACATTTCCTACCTCTTGTCCATTTTCTGAACCAGTTAAATACGTGTAGTTTTTGTTTAACACATGAAACCTCCTCAACTTCAAACAACGATCCTAAACTGAACACAACCACTCAAATGCAGCACCCCGTAGATGATACAACGTCTGGAAGACACCGTTATTCAGAATAAAGAACTACATTCTACGTATGTGCGTTTAATTTTTAGGCATTTCCGTTTAATTGGATTCGGTAAAGAAAAAAGCAAGATAGTGACAAGTCAATGAATAATGAATGAATAGTAAACATAACGATAAACGTTTCACCAAAACTAAGATAAAATGAATTATATTCAGGTGACAAATTGATGTAAGGAAACAAGGTAAGGAAACTAGTTTAGAAAATCAGGAAGGTGCATAAAAGTCGGTGGAAACTAGGTTTAATAGAAAGCCTGCGTAAAAAACGAATCGACAATGCCAAAGACAAAATAATTAGCAATGAGAGAGAATTAAAAGGCAAGGGATAAAACTGAAGAGGACTTAATAAAGGAAACATATGACAAATGAGTACGTGAGAACAAGCTATTAATAGTTAAGGGAAACTGACAGAATGGATGATATAGAAAGGACAATATGGGAAAGATAGCGACGGAAAGAAAGAACTTTGGTGTTAGCATCCAAGACAACGCACTCCTTAATAATCCGGAATCAGCCATGCAACGGACTCACTAATAATAATGTTTGACTATCTTTTGATGCTAACGAAGCCGAAAAGATAAGAAAAACGTGTCCCTTTAATGATCAACTAATTAACGTCTTGTTTTGATCAAATTAACAAAAAAATAATGAAGAGGAGGTCACCATTAGAGGCTAACTCAACAAGAACGATATTATTTTCTTTCTATTTTTTTTTTTTTTTTAACTCTTTTTCGTTGACGTCTGATTAAAAGAAAAATCAACTTCAAAAATATTTAACTTCTCTTATTGGCGAAAAATAAAAACATCTTGATCAAGCCACCACGAATAAAGACTGACATTTTCAAAAGGACTTTATTAAAGGCGTGGAAAAATAAATAAAATATTAAAGTGGTCCAGCTAAGATTAAAGGAAAAAAAGAAATCTGCATTTAAATGAGATGACAAGAAGCTAATACTCCCTGAGGTATTATCATCACTCGTCTCCTTAAGAAGAGGAGATATCTTGTTTTGAATACGGTCAGTTTTTTCTTTTGTTTTCATAAATTTAATTCGATGTTTTTAGTACTCGTTTTTCTTGGAAAGTGGTCCCCTCAAGTTGCAATGTTTTCATGCAGTGACCAAAAGCCACAGATTGATTATTTGTTTTAAAAATATGAATTATTTTGGTAACTGTATTTTAAAAAAAAAAAAAAAAGTCGGTCAAGTAGCTGAAGGATGATTTCTAAAATAACATTACCTCTGTCCATAACGGCTACGACATTTTTTTAAAATCAATTCAATCCAAGCAAGGCGATAATGCCACTAAGATGTAAGGGCTACTGGGACTGAAAGAGTATTAAAAAGATTTTAGAAGGAACCGGAAACTCAATCTTAAACAGGAAACAAGAGATAAACCTCTACTGTTCAAAAGACTGGAGAGGAGTGTGAACCGGACGATAGGCGACAGATGTAATAAAATTTATAAAATATTTCATTTCGAAATTCCCAAAAGGTTACCGAGCACCCAAAGATAGATACCTGAAGAAGGCTGTAAAACGCCAGAAACGTTAGTCTGCTGATCTAAATAGTAAAGCATATAATAATGAAAATTTCTCACCTCAAAAATAAAATGTATCTTTTTAAAATATTCTGTTCAAAAACAAGCAAGCACAGGTGTTAAAGCAGGAGACTGGAGGCCATTTGAACTGAAGGCATATTGTAAATGAGAATAATGTGCCTTCACCTTCAGGACAAGTCAAGAATATAGCCTCGAATGCAACTAAAAGAAAGAACTGTATTTGCCTACACCTCACTTTAAGCTTGATATCTTCGTTAAAATCTTATCTCAATAAAAATCTATTCAACATAATTCATACCCATTTATATATAATGATATGCATAGCTATTTTACCACACTTCAAAACACATCGGCTCGGCAATTACAGGCTTACCTTACTAACAAAAGTTTTGTTAATACTTTTCTTGAAAAATGAAAATATGCTAGTCACAGTTTTAAATGATAAACACGAAAAGAAAAACCTACAAAATGAGAATATACTTTCTAAATTCAGTATTTAAGCAATAAAATAATTTCTTTCTATGAAACAGGAGGAACTAAAACAGAACAAATGCTATAGGGTTATTTCCACAAAAAAATGAAATTATTTGTAAATGAAATTTCATTTGCGAAAATTATTTACAAATAATCATGCATTTTTCCTCATTAGTCATCAATTAAAAATATTCAGCAACGAACTTGGTATTAGGCAAGCGATTAGTGATTAATCACTATGCGCATGTATGTATATATACATATATCTTACTTATAAAACGCCGATTGTGTGTGTGTGTGTGTGTGTGTTCGTTTATATATGGGATCGTATTTCCTACATTTTTCAACCGATTTCAAAAAAATTTCACATGACTACGTAAAATTACCCGGCGGTAGTTCTGACAGCGCCCAAAATTGGAAAAACACAATTGTTCTTGCACGAAATCACTTTGAAACACGGGTAAGTGTATCGCACCCGGCCGGAAGTTACTGCCGGCTACTCAAACGTCTGAAAGCGTCACCGCGGAAAAC